TTTGGGGGGGGGGGGGGGGGAACTTAAGGAGGAATTAGAGAATGCATTGTTAGTTTTGTATTGGCTAAAGGTAGTTCATTTCACAGGTCTTATCAACTATCCCCACTTTCTGGTGCTGCTGGGACTCGAAGGTATTACAATAGGATTTGCATAAGAAAACTGGAGGTCGAGCGACAGAAAGGAAGTAAATGTTGTTTCTCAAGGTGTAGGGCAGAGCTTTGGGACAATACTTACAAAGAGGAGACAGATTATATTTCTAGAGCAACCTTAATATGGAGAGCGATCAAATTACCAATATATTCTGTTGCCTTGGTTCCTCTCACTGTGAGTGAGTTTCTTGTACTGACTTTCAAGCTTCTTTGCAGCTATTTTAATTTGAAATTAACAGGAATTCTGTGTCGAGTATCGAAAAACAGCTAATATGAATTGTACAGTAATACAACATCCAAGTCATTTCCACATAGACCTGAGCACAAAAGGTTAATTATAGTGTATATTAGTAGTGTTTTGTACCCATGGAATAATACATGTGTAACTGTATCCTCTATATCAAACACCCAATAACAGTTGGGAGTCTTGGGACGGTGGCAATGCCATGGTACCTGCCCAAAATAACTTAGAAGGAAGTGTAGAACTTGTTTTCAAAAATAGTTAGAGAAATCCAAAAGCGCAATAGGGTGAAATCCGGATGCACCCTGTGAGTGTTGATGATATGTAAAGTCATTAAACTCAAATGCACAAATGTGACTACTAGGTTCTCTTGAATTAAGTGAACGTAAAATGTTACAACATTCTTTTCTTCCCAACTCCTTTTTTGTTTTTTAAAAGACTGCAGGATCTGTGATGGTTATAATCCTGATGATAATACAGCAGAGACTTATTATTAAACATTGTTTCAAAAACATAAATAGAATAGATAATCAAATTGTAACCTCAAAACAGATTGGATATTGATTTAAACATGAAATGGTGTTCAAACCATGTAAAGAAACCAGTAGTCTGTGAAGAGCCGTGGAGTTCTTTTAGCAAATTCTAGTCTAAATCAGCAGAGATTGAGATTGTTATTCTTTAGGGATGGGTGCAATAAAGTATTAGATTGATGGTTCTCAAAAATTTCTTCTGATCTTCTCTGATATCGGCTGTAACAGTTCAAAAGTTCTAGATGGGAATTCATCAGTCAATTGCACGAAGACATCATCTTTACTTTCAGCTGTGAGCTCATTAAAAGGAATGGTGAAGCTCAGATTGATTGCATTATGATGATTGACATAGAAAATGCTTTAGATGAAGAAACTAAAGCATGGATTACCATGGATTTACTACATCTTTGTATATTCTTTTCTATAGATTCTTGAGAAATTCCAGATAGGCTTAGGCTGATTGTTTCTAGCAGATAGTGATTAACACTCACTTTCTGCGGATATAAATGCTAACTGGTCACTTAATCCATTCCTTCTCTTGATATTGGACAAATATTTTACTTCCTCACACGAGCTCTGAGAAAATTGAAGTTTACTCAGTTTTGATTTTTGGCTGTGTTTCTTAATGGATCACTGAAACTTCACTTTCAGTTATGTGTGCTGCCTTTATATCATAATCTGAATGACATACAGTGCATTTGTTTCATTATTTCTAGTTTCTGCAAACAGGTGGGAAGCGCAGCTGCTTATTTTCATACAGGCTTATATTCTGCTAGGCGCTATTTTGTGCTCTTGGCTTCCTCAATTCTTATCATCACGTGGCTCAACTTAAGGTAAGATTTGTTATTGTTTTGGAGAAGTGAGGTCCAATTATTTAAGCCTAAGCGGTCCGCTATGAACATACTACCACAATTCGATGGCATTAAGCGACCATTTCATATCATTTGGTATTAATTTTGTATAAGGTTTCAACCAACTACACATATACCTGAATCTTTGACAGAAGCAGAACAAATTTGCATTGCTCATTCACAAGCACACCCGCAATTGGGGTCAACAAAGGGTTGATCAAGGAACCTGTCTTTTTTTAACAGATTAGATTGGACAAGGATTTGCTGACTCATGTTCATCTGACATGGTGAACTTCCTTATTCAGATGGGAACTTTGAATCTGTATATGAAGATGCCAGTATTGTTTTAGTGATTTTATAAGACATGTTGGATTTTCTTATGTTTTCCCTCATTTGCCATTGTTTTAAGTCTCCTCTTTCCTTTGGACTCTGGAGTTATTTTTTTATTCTTTCAATATTAGTCATCAAACCAGAAGGATCTGGAAAATTGCAAACTGGTCTCGCGGATTTGTGAGTTTATTCCTGCATGTTGTCTAAATGTCAACATTACACTGTTGGTAGGTTGTTTTCATGATCTTAATAGCATAATTCTCTTTTATTTTTTTCTTCGTGCTGTCTATTCATATTTGTGTGATATGGGCAGCAACGACGTTTATGATTTTGATACAGGAGCAGATAAGAACAAGAAAGAATCAGTTGTAAACATAGTTGGCAGGTAGGCCTATGTTCCCCCACAAAGTTTTTCTGTTTTCTGTTTCATCTTTGTTTTTTTGGGATATGTTCCCCTTTTGCTTGTTCATCCTGTTTGCAAGGTGTGTATGTGTGAATTTCATTTTCTGTTTTCAACTGGCCAATTGTGCTTGTGTTGCGCTTGAGAAGTCGTACAGGAACCATAGTTGCTGCTTGGTTATTGCTTGCTCTTGGTTTCATGGGGCTTACTTGGGTAGCTGTTGAGGCTGCAAATATGCGTTCATTATTCTTACTGGCTTCTGCAGTCACTTGTGGTTACATATATCAGGTACTAAAAATAGTTCTGGTATTTGGGTAAGTTCTGTACTTGTTCACTCCAATCCCTGAAATGTTTAAGTTGCCTTTTATTTTGATTAGCAGTGTTGTTCTTCAGCTTTTTAATGGTAGATACTCCACGATACTGGTCTAATCTGTCTGTTAGTTACCCTAAAATGATCTCATCTATGATTGAGCAAGTGATTTCTGTAGATAACTAAGGACTGTAGTTCCTCTTTAAAACATTTGGTTCCTTAACTGACAATTTTCTCTTCTTTTTCTTGTGTGTGTATTTGCCATTCTAGCCATGTTATGATGTTTGTGGGTCAAATCAATAACTTTCTTCAAACTTCACATAAAAAACAATTGAGAGTTGTTGGCCTGTGCTTCTAAAATTAGTCAGGCTTGCTCCATGCTCTCTGCTGATAACTTTTTAAACCATGACAATGTGCCATATGTGGCATCCAGTTATTTGATTACATACATAGTACTATCTATCATCCTTCTTTTAATGAAAACATCGAAAGAATAGCTTGTGGAGTAACTACCATTGGACTGATTTCTTGAATTTGGTCCTTGATGTCATATTGGCGACATGAGAAGCCAGATTCAGATTGTCATGACTGTCTGTCTTTATTTTTGTTGTTTCCAGTGCCCACCATTTCGGCTAAGTTATCAAGGATTAGGAGAGCCCTTATGCTTTGCAGCATTTGGCCCGTTTGCTACTACTGCTTTTTATTTATTGCAGAGCAGCACAAGGTTTGTATAGTTATGCTGATTACTTGATACTAAAATCTTGGATTTGAAGTTTGTGTTCTTGACTTCAATTATGGGCATTATAGTAGTGAGCTCCCCATAACTGGCACCATCTTTTCTGGATCGCTCCTGGTTGGCTTCACAACAACCCTAATCCTTTTCTGTAGTCACTTTCATCAGGTAATTTTTTTTTCTCTTTCAGTTTTCCAACTTCTTCCTTGGTTTATCTCTATATCGCCTAATATAAACGGTGCACAACTCAGGTAGAAGATGATAGAGCCGTCAGCAAAATGTCCCCTTTGGTGAGTATACTAATAGTAACATCGATTGATCAAATGTTTAGAACATAATTGAAGGAAAAATGAACTTCTTGTATTCTTGGTATTTGAATTCAGGTGAGGCTTGGCACCAAAAGAGGTTCACAGGTGGTGAAAGTGGCTGTGATCACACTTTATTCACTTCTGTTTGCTCTTGGTATTTTCAAAGTTCTTCCTCTTTGTTGTATTGTAAGTCATCTTCAATTCTACATTACATTTGTAATGTGAAGAACACTTCAATGGTATCCTTTACAGTACCCGATGTTCGTTGCAACTTGAAATTTCCTAATTCTGATTTGTGATTCTATTCCAGTTTCTCTGTGCCCTGACAGCATCAGTGGGAAAACTAGTGGTCAGCTTTGCTGAGGAGAATCACAAGGTGAGTAGTGGTCTATGTAAGCAAATTGACTGTTATGTTGGGATGTCTTAGGCTCTTAGCCTTGTAGTTCCATCAAGCCTCTGAGTTTGGTTTGTGAATTCATGTAAGGGCGAGCTATAAGTAACAATTCCGTAAGCAGCAATTGAACTGAACGTTCCAAGTGCATCTTTTTTTATAGGACAAAACAAAGATCTTTATGGCAAAGTATTACTGTGTGAGACTGCATACCATATTTGGGGCCGCATTGGCCACTGGGCTGGTGGTAGGTGGTATGATCACGCGAAAATACGCTCCCAATCCAATATTGCTTTAGAGTTTCTGCACCTTGAATCCTCAAGTTCATTAGGTAAGGATGGAAATTCAAGCTATCGATTCTTACAGCATATTCAATGCAACTCAATTTCATGATCTGCATCTAACTATAGAGAAGAGACTCTACTGTATATACATGTTTTGGTCATGTATGACTAGTTTTTACTAGCAACGGCTCTTTGAATATATCTCCCTGATCCCTTCTTTTGCCCCCAAAACTGGTTTTTTTTGTTGTTAAGAACAGGGTGTTTAGAGCTACAAGATGGAAGAGCTAGTTCTAGTTATACCTTGTTTACAAATTGTTAAAGGAAGAGCTACTGATACTTAGCATATCCTGGCTTCAGCTTTAAGCAAGTTCAGTATTTGAATGCACTTATGGTCTGTTTAGTAGGATGGGTGAAAAAGTTAAAGAAAATAGGGTATAATGGATGTACTTTCTATAAAATTAAAAATAACGCACATTTCAAAAAACCTGCTTATCTTTTCTTTTCCTTTTTCGATCCAGAAGGATGAATTTTGGCGAATGAGAAGAAAGGCTCTATCTCTCCATTCCTTTCACTCTTGCATTGTACCAAATCAATTATAAGACAGTATTGTTCGAGAGGTGGAAGAGTAAACTTGGTTTATGTATATAGTAATGTTGTTGAGACCTAAAAAATTGACATCATAATGTGACAAATGATAGAGTCCTAATAAAAAAGTTCAACATTACATCACAATAATTCTATTAGACAACATCATTAAGTCAATTTTTTAAATCTCAATAACATTACTCGTACATTATGTCGATTGACTATGAGTGTCATCTAACATTGAAATTTGGTGTCGGCTACAATGAAACTATATTATTAAATCACTAAATTAGGTCAATTTTTTATATCCCGACTCCTCAACTTATATATGTTTCCACCCCATAAAAACAGGCATTTGCATATGCTGCATGCAACTGGAAAAATTTATTTTCTACTATTTTCGTTCGCAGTGAAGTTGCATCCTCTCTGGACCTTCGAGCTGAGCCCATCATGGTTTAATACTGTTGATTTTTGTACCTTGTTGTGACTAATTTTCTAATTTGAACGAGGGGAACAATGTAGTGCCTTTTGGAGGTGGTATATGGACTTGTGTATGTTTGCCTTTAGAATTTTTCTGTGAAACACTATTAAGCGATCTGATTTGATGTTGGATGAGTACTTATATTTGTGTGATGAATTTATGTTTGTTAATAATAATAAAAAAAAGGTATTGCAATTTTAGTTCCCTAACTTGTTTGCAATTACACTACCAAGGTTTCTATGTATTATAATTTCTCTCTGTTGGGTTGGTTTTTTGATAAGGAAAGATGCAAGGGAGTTGGCTTGTAATTGAGATACATATTTCGTATGAATGATATGGATTTTTCGAGATAGTTAACCACTTTTTTAAGTGTGTGTGAGAGAGAGAGAAAGAGATCATTTAGAACCCTTTAGCTCTAGAATCGGGAGGGCGTCCCTAGAAGCACTAGCGCCAGCACCAGAACTAATGAAAGTTGCCCATGGTTAATGGGTGTAAAGAAGAGGATGGTGACAGTGGTTTATTGGTGGGCAAAAGCGGTACGAATTCTTAACGGGTAACTCATGGCAGTGGCTATTAATTGGAAACATGAAATGGTGTGGGTGGGGGTGGGGGTGGGGGGGTGTGTGTGTGAGAGAGAGAGAGAGAACGAAGCATGCAGTGCAACTCTAGTCTAGTTATTTTGTCTTCAACAGGATAACTATCATACTTGTTATTTTTCATAATCTTCATTTAGCTAATTATTCCTGGAGAGGCAAATAAGCTCGCTATTGTGTTTTTGCGTCAATAACACCCTCAATTTCAGTCTCCTTGGTTAGTTGTCTTCCTCAACTAGACAGAGGGTTCTTTGTCTAGTCCAGACTTCATCTCTACACATCACTTTAAATCAAATTGTCAACTCCACAGAAGCTTAATCCGCAGAGGCTTCATTTCGCAGAAATAGGCATGGTTTCTCTCTCGCAGAGAATTGGATCCTAGGAGATGAGTCGTGGAAAGCAAGTATTTTCTTCATTGCCGAGGACTGAATTTAGTAAAATGGGAAATACAACGAGTTGAGATTAAAATCCAATAAAACTTCCCTAAAATCCAGTAAAATCTCTCCAAAAAGCCAATAAAACCTCCAAAAAAATCGAGCTAAATCCTCCCAAAATCCAGCAAAACTCCTAAATCCAGTAAAACCCTCAATTCTTAGATTTTAATAATTAATAGTTAGTATTTTAGATTTTAATAATTAATAGTTATTTAAAATTAGTTGCAATAGTTAGTTAAAATAGATAGCGTGGTTGAAGTGGATTTGAAAAAGTGAATAGATAAAGTAGATAGTACAATCTATATAATAAAGTAATTTATAATTCAAATCTCAAAAGATATACAAAATGACTTTTGTTATTCGCGGTTGAGATCGCTTTAAATTTTATTTTAAAGTTAATCTAACGGCTAATATTAACACCCTAAATTTAATATGAAAAATATGTATCCTAAGGGTGTGTTTGAAGTGACTTTTTAAAAATACTTTTAAAAATTATTTCTTATAAATACTTTAAAAACAAATAGTGTTTGAAACCTCTCCACCACTATCTCTTCCGCCACCGCCACCGCCACCACCACCACCACCACCACCACCATCATTGCCGCCGTCGCCACCGCCATTACCACCACCACCACTACCAACGCCACTATCGCCACCGTCACCACCACCATCTCCACCATCGCCATGCCATCACCACTGTCGCCACCGTTACCCCCACCACCATCACCACCTCCACTATCGTCACCGTCACCATCACCGTCCCTGCTACCATCGTTGTCGCCACCATTACCATTGTCGTTGTCGCCGCCACCACCATCATCGCTGCTGCCACCACCATCATCGCTGTTTCTTACCATCATCACTGTCGCCCACCATATCTCACCTCAACTATAAAATCGATATTTAAATTCTTTTATCTCTTCTCTATATTTGTGATTTTATTTTAGATATAAATATAAATATGTTTATTGTTTATTATTTTTTATTATTCTGTGCATTTAAGCACATTTAATAACTAGTATTTAAATATATTTTGAATAATTATTTTAGATAGCATTGTTGAAGTTCCTCTAAGAGAGGAGATGGGAGAGAAAAGAGAGAGGAAGGGACAGCTTGAGGGTAGTTTTGAACTTTTATCATTTGAGGGTGCATTTTAGTCTCACATCCACAAGAGGTTATGTGATATTTGAAGACTTCAAGGTGGTTATCTGCAATTGGGATAAACTATGAGTGGTTAAAGTAAAGTTTTCCCTAAAATCAACATTCATTCTAAAATTAATTATTTTTTTTATACGAAACGGTAGAATTGTATTTTATTAAATCACGAAACAAACATATTTTCACGAGGTAGGAGGCCAGAATGTCTGGGTACACCTCCCTCTATAATAACAAGTAAAGGCATAATAAGTCGAAGCATTAGCAGTACTATTCGCTGATCATTTTATACGAGAAATAGAAAATTCCAACAAATTCTAAAGATTTTGTTGAATCTCTATTTCCAATTGCCTTCACCTCGCCCTTCGAATCACCTTCTAAACAAATTCTATCGTACCTCAACTCAGTCCCCAACTTCAAAGAAGCAAAGGCAGCCATAGCTTCCACATCTGCAGCGCTCCTAATCAGTCGGCATAACCCGGCAAGAAAATTCACCAGCGTTGTGTCAAAACAATGTCTTATTCTTTGATAATTAATGGGGAACGTATTGATTTTTTTAAACGACAACGTAGGCTAAGACAAGGGGATCCAAAGCATTGTACCAACCTAAACTTTCAAGCAAACATGCCAAATAATATCAGATAGAGCCGTTTGACCGGGCAGCTGGATAAGGACGACGACCTAGCCGAAAGATGGTATGGGCCCAATAGGTGCGCCATTACGTTGTAATTAGGGAAAAGTATATTTTGACCCTCTTAATTATGAATTATTAACATTTGTTAATACTTAATGGAAATTTATTTTATTTTACCTTTTAAAATTTGTAATTATTTTTAATTTATTCTGACACATCATCAATTTCCATCAAAAAAGATAATACACATTTACGGTTGTGGTAATATGAAAAAATCAAAGAAATTGAGAGGATAATATAATAAAATTTAATAATTTAAAGGATAAAATAACAAAGAGTAATAGTTGAGGGGTCAAAGTATAATTGCTCCTTGCAATTACCATCCACAACCTTTTACCTCCTTCGCCTCTATCTGTCTCTCTCTCGTTCCATCCTCATCTCTCAGATCAGATCTCAAATTCTCACTTCCAAACCCACAGAATTCTTCAATGGCGACCCCAACTCCATCACCACGCGAGGAATTCGTCTACATGGCGAAACTCGCGGAACAAGCCGAGCGCTACGAGGAGATGGTGGAATTCATGGAGAAAGTCTCCGCCGCCGTCCCCGACGCCGACGAACTCACGGTGGAGGAGCGCAACCTCCTGTCGGTGGCGTACAAGAACGTGATCGGAGCTCGCAGGGCATCGTGGCGGATCATATCGTCGATCGAGCAGAAGGAAGAGACCCGTGGAAATGAGGACCACGTGAATGTGATTAAGGAGTATAGGAGGAAGATTGAGTCCGAGTTGTCGAAGATATGTGATGGTATTTTGAAGCTTTTGGACTCGAGGTTGGTGCCCAGTGCTGGTACTGGGGACTCTAAGGTCTTCTATTTGAAGATGAAAGGGGATTATCATAGGTATTTGGCGGAGTTTAAGGCTGGAGCTGAGAGAAAGGAGGCAGCCGAGAATACGCTCAATGCCTACAAGGCAGCACAGGTTTGTTTTTCTGATGTTGTGTACATTATAATTAACGTTTGGTTGTTTTTAAGGGAATTTTTTATGTGATTACTTCGATAATTGTGAAGTATGCAAAGGTTATTCTTGGTTTTTCGTTGGATTTAAATTTGCGTTTATTTGGTTGATGTGTGCATTCGTGGTGGTGTGATGATCCACATTACTGGGTGTGTGAATTGTTACCGGATTTAGCAGTTTGGCTTTGGATAATAATAATTGTATTGTATATTGTTGGGCTTGTTCCTGGATTGGTACTCTTTTTTTCTTTTTCAAATTAAAACTAAATATGTGCATATTTGGTAACATTAACATTTATTATGTGTTAGGATAGCTTAGCCAAATTGGGATTTGTTGGTTTTATGTTTTGTTGATTGATTAACTTTTCCTCTCATAACGGTTTTGAGTTTGTGTAAAATATTTGTTTGTGCTTTGCTGGTTTACACTATGAGAAAGAATTTTCTAGGGATGTTGAATGCTATGATCTCTGATTGGTAGATGTTGGGTGTTTGAATTTGAATTAAGCCTTGACCTTAAGATTTGGCATGAATTTATGCGAAGAGGCATGGGTCATAATACTTAAAGCCGGCTTTTGGATGGATGGATTTGAAATGCAGGTACATTTGGGTAAAGACTGAAGAAAAAAGCCAAAAAAATACATCACATATAATGCTCATTTAGAATCCTTCTCAGTATGGAGTACAAATAGTTGCCGTCACCTTGTATTTGAATGTAAGGCAACTCATTTGGTTATCAAACCCAAACCCATTTGATTTAAACCCCTCAATGACTTGATCCAAATGCAGCCTCACTTTTTTGTTTAATTGTGGAGTTTTTTTGCTTTTATTCACGTTGCTAGAGGGCCATGATCAGTGTCGGATTCATATAACTTGAAAATTTCATGGTTACATGAGAAATGATTGAACTGTAGGTGTAAAAATGAAGAAACACTATAGCAGTTGTGGAAATATCACTTATTTAAGTTATCCTTGAAAATCCGAGTGAACTTTTCTTGGTCTGTCATAGGTCAATGTGCATAAGTACTTGACAAATTCGATGTATCCATGGAGGATAGCACAATTCTGTTTAATCGCTAGTGCTTCATCTCTTGTTATAAGTGAGAATGTGTTAGGAAGTTTGTCATTATAACTTGTCCCCAAATTCTATTAAAAGTTTTTTTTCCTATGTTTGGAGTTAAATTTTGATTTATTGTGATCCCTTGTTGATGCTCCATTGTTTTATGTCTGTAATATCTGTTTCAGGATATAGCTAATTCAGAGTTGGCTCCGACGCATCCGATCCGGCTTGGTTTGGCTCTTAACTTCTCCGTGTTTTACTATGAAATTTTGAACTCTCCTGATCGAGCATGTAATCTGGCAAAGCAGGTAGGGAACTTATCTTTTAAGACTTAAGTTGGAAGTAAGAAGTTTTGATACAAAAACTTTCATTAGATCATAAAGAGAAAGCAATATCTTTTAATTAAAATCCAGTTTTGATACCAAAGGGACATAACGAGGTCGCCTTGGTTCGAACATTTCATTTGTTCAAAAGTCATTTGACCTTTTTTTCTTGATGCATGATGTGTACTCAGGTTGAATGGCCACATGCAGGTCCCTCCTTCAAAATCTAATATGGTAGTTATATTGCTTGACCAGATTTATTTATTGAACTTTGGCCTAGGCACAATTAAGAGAAATTGATTTAGGAGTTCCTAACAAACATGTATGTTGTAAATGTGTCCTCTCTCTCTCTCTCTCTCTCCTTTAACCTGTTGACGTGGCCATTTTGTGTAAAATCCATGTCCATGCAGCCTAAATGAGGATCCAGATTGTGAGTCTTGCCTTATACTGTAGTGTGTTGTTTTGCCTCTATTCTTCACTTGGTTCTATCCGTTGCTGTCACCTGGCATTATCTAACAGCTGTTTGTCTTCGTCAGGCTTTTGATGAAGCCATTGCAGAGTTGGATACACTGGGAGAGGATTCATACAAGGATAGCACTCTGATAATGCAGCTTCTTCGTGACAATCTGACTTTGTGGACCTCAGATATGCAGGTTTTAATTCCACTTCTTTTATGTCATACTGATTGTGACTTTATTTCCTTTTTTCATATTTTCTATAAATTGGTGTCTTGTGCGTGCGTAGGATGATGGCGGAGATGAGATCAAAGAAGCAACCAAGCACAGCGATGAGTAGCAGTGAAGTTATTATCATCATATTAGTATTTTTGCTTCTACTTTTTCACTTTTTTGATTGAAGAAGTTGCTTGCTCTGCATTTCATTATTTGTTTTTAGGAGATCATGCAGTGATTTATGATCTTTGGAAGAACTGAAGTTTCATGCTTCCCTATTTTAATATTCATGTTTTTTTTATTCTCTTTGATTATATTTCATGTGATCAAGAATGCTTTATCAATTGCCCCAGCTTCCCATTTGTTGGCTGAGACGCATGTAATTGAACTTTGCTTCATTTCCCTACTGATGGTTTGTAATACGTGTGCTTGAAATAAAACGGTGCATCTCCTTAATATTTGTGGTATGTTTTCCTTATTTCAAGCCTCTTCTTTGTTGTTTTTATGTTGGGGATCTGTAGGATTACCAAAATCTGCTTGTTTTGAGTTATTGGAGCTGGAGGTTTGAGTGGCTTAATGGTTAAGTGAAGGATGGAAACCTGATTATTTGGTATAGTAACGTAATCATATTGTGTTACTGACTTGCTACTCATTAATCAAGATTTTGAGACCAAATTTGAAACATTTTGAAATTTGTGTTGCCATACGCATGTTAGGGATGGATCTCCCGCCCTTACCTTTTTTTGTACCTAAATTTAAATTTGGATAAAAATTGTTTTAAATATTTTTTCAATGTTAGACCCATATTCATACCAAATGAAGGGAAATAATTTCTTAAACTCAAATCAAGGGAGTTTTTTTTTTAAATCTAAATTTTTAATGGTGAAATTATACACCCTTTTAAAGGTTTAATGGTCATATTTTATTTTTTTTTAAATTTGTGTTTTTTCTCCAAGAAATTTTTTTCTATATTTTTACTTAAATTTGGGTAAGAGTTTGAGTTTTTGTTGGAGATAGTTTTAAAGCATCTCCAACCCTCAGTAAAAAAGAGCCTAGTAAATTTGCTTAAACTTTTGATTCAAACTTATACTAAATTAAGGGAGATTTATTTTGTTATCCAAATTTTTATTTAAATCTTTAATGGTGAGATTTTATTTTTTTTTAAAGATCCAATAATCATCTTTACTTTTTTTTTTTAAATTTGCGTTTGCCCTTGTTTAAATTTGAGTTTCTTATTTTTTAAATTTAAGTTTGTCTATCAGGGTATTTTGTATCAAATCAAGCTTTTACTTAAATAATAATTTAAATTTAAATAAAAATTGAATTATAGTTGAAGATGATCTTACTGAATTGTGGAAATTAGTTTTTTAAAATTATAATATATTTTTAAATAATTATTTTGTTTAATATCACCCAATAAATTAATAGAAAGAACAATATTACTTAAATCTAATTATTTATAATTATTTGATTGACAATGAGACTAGTAATAAGTGGGATCCATTATTAATTTAATAGTTGTCATAGATTATGTCAATAAATTATGTAAACAAATAAGGTATAAATAATATTATTGTAACGGATAATCGAATGACCCAAAACACAAAGAAATGTAGCATATAAGAATCTACCCAATTATCCAAAAACCGACAAACCCGAAATCAAATCAGCTTGGATCCTTTTGGGTTAATATCGCCCACACCCCGGTATCAATGGGTTTGGGTCATTATGGGATTCAGATCACCCATACCCGAGTCCACGGAAAATGCCCAATACTAAGAGCTATAAATGTGCCCTCTTCCCGCCCAAACCAAAACCAGTTTCTGTCTTCACTTGTCTACCTCTCTCTCTCTCGCACGCAGGCACCATTGGAAATGGATTTGAGCGATCCCAGAAAAGAGTTAGCAGGTTTCTTAATACGACGCCATTCCGATCGGCTTCGTTCCATCATCGTCTCTCCTGACCCTCGCCTTCATTACCCACTCTATGTTGAGTAAGAACTCCACAACGCCCTCCTTCGCTGTCTATCACAATATCTACTTAACTCACTCTCTCTCTCAGTTTTGCAGAGTTAATGGATGACGATCCACGACTTGCTCACCTCATTTTCTCCCAACCCACCGAGTACTTACCCTTATTCGATGATTCAGCTAATTGGGCTCAGGTAATATATTTCTGTTTCTTAAAATTCCCTTTCTATTTCAGATACACACACTCAAAATTTATGTTCTGCATTTTTAATTCTTTGTATTTTTTTTCTTGAATTGATTTAAGTTGATGTGGTTATGTTTGTGGGCATATGTAGAAAGTCGTTTTTATGGATTTCAAAGGTTGGGATGATGCAAGTGTGAAGGATTTTGTACATATTCGGATTAATATCAGCGGTTCTCCACTGGAATTCCCTGGTTAGCTTGCATTGATGTTTCTACTTTGATATGTGTTCTAGGGGTACTTTTTCTTTGTGTGACCTGATGTCTATTTGGGTGTGTTTAGAAACTTTTCCGAGCATTGGGCGTGTGAGAGTGAAGCATCGTGGGATTCTGCTCACTCTCAAAGGAACTGTAATTCGGTCTGGAGCAATTAAGATGATTGAAGGGGAGAAGATATATGAGTGCCGAAAATGTAAACACAGGTAGATGCTGTCCAAAAACATTTCAGGCGCAATTTTGTCTGCACAAATTATTGGGGAAAGTTACTCATATATTCATGAACTACATAGACTAGAGCACAAATGTTATTTCGACCTATCAATCAAAAACAGTTGAAAATAACAGTTCACAGTTGAGTTGACAGTAACAATATTATGATTGGCTAACCCATTCACAGATTACCATTAAAGCGTCCCCTTCATGGTGGGGACTCAGAGTACAGTGTGGTGCACTGAAAGATAAGGCTCAATATTACTTACATTAATGCTTTGGGGATCAAAATTAGTTCAGAATTGATGCCTATCAGGTGGCTTAATGCTGAATGCTTGCATGAAAGAATATTTCAAACCTGAACAAGTTTCAACTTTACTAATTTTTGTTCAAATGATTGTCTGATGATTCATAGTTATGCATTCTCTCCATGATTTCTTGTAATCCTTAAGAGACTTTGTGATGTTGTAGAATTCTTTTTTTTTTTGGTGGGGGAGGGGACTTGAACCTTTGATCTAAAGAAGACAAAGCCTTCTCAAAATAAGGAGTACCATTGGACCAAGGCCTGGTAGATGTTGTAGAATTCCATTTCATGTTTCTGGTATTTTTTGAGAATATATTAGCAAACTCTTCTGACTGGATTTACTGGTAGATAGAAACGATTCTTATGAATATTAATGCTTAATGTCTGCTGAAGGACGATGTTTGTCTGTAGGTTCAAAGTATATCCTGAGGTAGAAACTAGAAATTCCATACCCAAACCAACTGTCTGCCCCTCCCAGGTATATTTTTACTCTATCAGTCGGTGCATTGATCTGTCTCTGTTATATATGTGCGTGTATGTATTTGTATACATCTACATATATACATTTACACATGCATGTAAACAAATGTGTGTATGTAAGGCAAACTAGACGAGCAACCGTGATTTCGTGCTTTGTGGTTGCGCTAATAAGAATAGGGTTTTCTGGTTTTTGTGTTGAGCTACTTTAACATGGCACAATCTGCAGATTGAGCTTTCAAAATACTTGTTTAATCTTCGGACACATTAAGATCAGCAATCTATGAATTCAATGATTGCAACTCAGTTTATATTAATGTAGCTGTTCTTTTACATTTGAAGACTAAATCCAGTGTTCCCTGTAACAGAAGCCTAAATTTTGTGAAAGCACCAGTTTCCAGCTTATAGAGGACAGCAACAAAATATGTCACGATTACCAGGAAATTAAAATCCAAGAAAGTACGCAAGTGTTGGGTGTTGGGGCTATCCCTCGTTCGATTCCCGTCATTCTGAAAAATGATATTGTCGACATTGTTAAAGCAGGAGGTAACAGATTTTGAAAGGTCATATTTTAGTTTTTTACCCAATATTTGCAATACTTCTCAACAGTTGTATTCACACAAGTATAGTCCAGAAATAAGCTGAAACTTTTTTCTTCTTGACTAAACCAGCGGATCTTATAAATGTATATCTATTTCATACGTTGTCCTCCAATTTTCTTTGCTTAATGAGATTTTGGATTATAAATTTCCAGAGTATTTGGATTATAACAGTAAGCAATCCTACCTAATCATTGCATCATGATGGGATAAATTGTATTACAAAATACTTTCTATATTTTCCCATCCTGGTGTTGTATCTTTGTGTTTCTCCAACATTACAGTCCACTACTTACCCCCCAAAAAGGAAATAAACATTACAGTCCATGTGTATGATTTGAATGCATATTTCTTGCATTTGTACTAAACTTTTTGTAACTAATTTCCAGATGATGTGATTGTTACTGGGGTTTTGACAGCAAAATGGTCCTCAGATATGAAGGATGTACGATGTGATCTTGATCCTGTATTAANTTCTCAAAATAAGGAGTACCATTGGACCAAGGCCTGGTAGATGTTGTAGAATTCCATTTCATGTTTCTGGTATTTTTTGAGAATATATTAGCAAACTCTTCTGACTGGATTTACTGGTAGATAGAAACGATTCTTATGAATATTAATGCTTAATGTCTGCTGAAGGACGATGTTTGTCTGTAGGTTCAAAGTATATCCTGAGGTAGAAACTAGAAATTCCATACCCAAACCAACTGTCTGCCCCTCCCAGGTATATTTTTACTCTATCAGTCGGTGCATTGATCTGTCTCTGTTATATATGTGCGTGTATGTATTTGTATACATCTACATATATACATTTACACATGCATGTAAACAAATGTGTGTATGTAAGGCAAACTAGACGAGCAACCGTGATTTCGTGCTTTGTGGTTGCGCTAATAAGAATAGGGTTTTCTGGTTTTTGTGTTGAGCTACTTTAACATGGCACAATCTGCAGATTGAGCTTTCAAAATACTTGTTTAATCTTCGGACACATTAAGATCAGCAATCTATGAATTCAATGATTGCAACTCAGTTTATATTAATGTAGCTGTTCTTTTACATTTGAAGACTAAATCCAGTGTTCCCTGTAACAGAAGCCTAAATTTTGTGAAAGCACCAGTTTCCAGCTTATAGAGGACAGCAACAAAATATGTCACGATTACCAGGAAATTAAAATCCAAGAAAGTACGCAAGTGTTGGGTGTTGGGGCTATCCCTCGTTCGATTCCCGTCATTCTGAAAAATGATATTGTCGACATTGTTAAAGCAGGAGGTAACAGATTTTGAAAGGTCATATTTTAGTTTTTTACCCAATATTTGCAATACTTCTCAACAGTTGTATTCACACAAGTATAGTCCAGAAATAAGCTGAAACTTTTTTCTTCTTGACTAAACCAGCGGATCTTATAAATGTATATCTATTTCATACGTTGTCCTCCAATTTTCTTTGCTTAATGAGATTTTGGATTATAAATTTCCAGAGTATTTGGATTATAACAGTAAGCAATCCTACCTAATCATTGCATCATGATGGGATAAATTGTATTACAAAATACTTTCTATATTTTCCCATCCTGGTGTTGTATCTTTGTGTTTCTCCAACATTACAGTCCACTACTTACCCCCCAAAAAGGAAATAAACATTACAGTCCATGTGTATGATTTGAATGCATATTTCTTGCATTTGTACTAAACTTTTTGTAACTAATTTCCAGATGATGTGATTGTTACTGGGGTTTTGACAGCAAAATGGTCCTCAGATATGAAGGATGTACGATGTGATCTTGATCCTGTATTAATTGCTAACCATGTGAGGTAACTGGGGTGGTCCCTTTTTGTTTTGGCTCAGCTGACAAATGATTTAGCTGCAATTGATGCACAAAGAAGAAATGCCAAAGTAATTAAATTGAATTTCTTGCCCACGTCATTTGATTATCAGATGTTAATGTTTTGACATGTAGATGAAGGATGGATAACCTCCAAAACAATTAATTTTTCACATTTCAGATGACATTCATGAAAATCACCAAATGGTTATGGTTTATGCTTGAAAAACGAAAACACAAAGAGAGAGAGAGAGTAAAGTTTCTTGGGCTAGGGTTTTAGAGAGTTAAAAGAAAGGTTGGATCACTGGATTGTTTATGAATTGACACGAGTGTGGTACTTTTGTCACCTTTATAAAAATGTTTGATTGCTTATTCCTGCGATAATTGTTTGAATGTGTTAGAGGTGATCAGTATCGTATCCACATTCCATTAGCTTGTATTTTAGTGAAGAATGGTTTTCAATATCTGACCTCAATACATCTAGTGCATTTTCTCAATCATCATCTGACAAAAGTACACCTTGGTGCTTTTGCAACCACATGCAATTTCAAATGTGGGAAAGTGGTCATTTACTCCTTTTTTTAATGCATGGAGCTGCCTTCTTGTGTTTGCAGGAGAACAAATCAGCTAAAGTCAGACATAGATATCCCTGAGGATGTTATTAACAAATTCAAGCGGTTCTGGTCCGATTTCAAAGATACCCCATTAAAAGGTTAATATGTGTTATTGAATATGACTTTCTGTTTTTCATTTTTTGATGCTGAAGTTATTTTCATTATCTTAGGGAGAAATGCTATTCTACGGGGTATCTGCCCTCAAGTTTTTGGACTCTTCACTGTGAAGCTTGCAGGTATTTTGTCACATACCAAGCCGTCCTGCTCATTAATATGAATTTGACATTGCATTACATTATTTGGCTTATGGATTTAGATGTTTAGGGTCCTTGGCTATGTGAAACAATTTAGAATAATATATTTCCCAAGTTTTTATTCTAAGTTCATAAGTACCTACCTAATAAGCAAGTTTATTCTTCAATTTAGTTGCCCTGACACTTATTGGAGGTGTCCAACATGTTGATGCTTCCGGGACAAAAGTTCGCGGGGAGTCTCATTTGCTACTTGTCGGCGATCCAGGTAGTTTTCAAGTTTTGTACTTTTCCATATGCGGAACCTTGTATAACGATGGAGATATATAGTTTGTTCCAACTTATAATCATTTTTAGCTACCAATTTTTGGTTGCATAACCTTACGCTAACATTGACATAATGTGTTTTTTGGCTAAGAAGATTAAATTGATGAATCACCTTGTTTGTACTGTGATTTGGTCCATCAATGATTGACTAGACTATTTGCCCCAAAAAAATAAATGATTTACCGGGCTTTGGGCAGCGCCCCGCTTTACACTGGTAACTGCAAACTTAATTCTAATCCTGGTCTTTTATTATTGTTTATGAGGTTCATATTGACCCTTCGAGCTATTGTTGCAATTCATTCTTGTTAAATTCCTTGTAGTTGCTACAATACACCTGGACCTACTGCCATATTGTTTATTTAAGACCCTGTTGGGTAATGCATTTTCTTTGCTATATACAGATGAAGCATAACATGATACAAGCGGCATTTGAGGCTGTAAGAGGTGGCCTGTATCTCTAAAGTGAGTGTGTAGGGTAGTGTATCTAGCTACGACTTAGGAACCCAGGACAATTGCTCTGTAGTTAGCCCTTAAGACAGTGATAACGAATCTCTGCTAATTTACTTGGCAAAGTTTGTTTTGTTTCACATAATTATCATACAAATGACTGGATGTTTGGCTTCAATTTTCATAGAATATTGTCCTACGAGTTAGATAATCATTCACACCCCCTCCCCCCCCAGGTTTCCCCATAACAGGGATGGTCCCAGGAGTTAGATAATTGTTCTGACATCTACATGCTGCAATAAACAATTTGTAAATGTTGCTCTTTGTTTCTCTAAGGTACTGGAAAGTCCCAGTTCTTGAAGTTTGCTGCTAAATTGAGCAACAGATCTGTTATTACAACTGGGTTAGGTAGCACCAGCGCTGGATTAACTGTTACAGCAGTCAAAGATGGAGGTACAATCTTTTCCTATTTGATGATTATGTTTGAATCTAGGTCAAGATCGCAACTCATCCATTGTTTTTACTACTTGTCTCAGTATGCACTTACTCTGTCTTCTTCTTGATCATGTAATGTCTGAGATTCAGTCCAATCATCACAAAATTTTGACGTTGAGCTTGCCGTTTGTTTACTCATCCAATTTATACTTGTAGACATGAAGGATTTAATAATTTGTGCGATCATTTAATCACCAAATGAAGGAAATTTTATGCTGGCAAAAGCATTATTGTTTAGAGTGAAGTACACAAGTTGCCACTTATGTTAGAACATAAACTACTCTCATTTCTAACTGCTAGGTTGGATGGGCTTGCAATTGTTTCATTATAAAAAGCGAGCTCAAGTTACTTGATTGTTTGGTATGTCCTAGTTGTTCAAGGAGTTTTTCTCTTGCTTGAATTGGAAAAGTATTTTTTTTCTAAACACACCTCACTTCCCAGTATTCTTTCTTGAGGTGAACTGATCTTCTGTATCGAAGCACAATTAAAGCTTGTCTATTTATCCTTTAGGATTAAAGGATACTTTCATGCTTTCATCTTCTTCCACATTTTTCATTCACTTCATTCTCTAGACTGTTCATCTGCTGTAATTCTATTCTGGTGTCTACCCTATTTGCTAAACATTTATTCGTCTACCAGTGATTTGTCTTTTTAAATCTGCCCATATGCAGAGAGGCTGCTGTTTCTTTATGACGAGCCGTATTTTCAGACAATTGTGGGGCCTATACCATTAATGTTGTTGCTTGCAATGTCATTCAAAGTTCAATACATATCTTAGGTTCCTTTATATCCTTTTCTGCAGGACATAATGACATGCATAATTGCTCAAGAATATCATTTGACATATCCAGAATCTTTAAATTGTTAAAAAGAATTGAATGTGAAACCAATTCTGTCAAAAAGTTCAGATGTGTTTTATAATTTCAGGAGAATGGACGTTAGAAGCTGGGGCCCTCGTATTAGCAGATGGTGGTCTTTGTTGCATAGACGAATTCGATAGGTACTACCTCTGAAAGGTTGCATGTAGCCACTCTTTCATTGCTTTAATCTATCATTTGCTCAAATGAAATAATATTTGGCATGACTATTTTGAGTGAAAAGTTAACATACCATGTAACCATGGTGCCTGGGTTGGATTGTTGGAATTTTTCTTGTTGAATCTCTGTGATTCTGAATATGGAATCCAAGACCTGAGTTTATTCTTCTTATATTTACCTTAGCCTGCCATAGTAATAAATCATATGCCTCTCCAATCTTATCTCTGGAGTCTGCCCTTGAGGAATTGTGGTATGGTCAACTGTATAAGTTATCCTAGAGGACAGGATAAGTAAGTCATCAATTTTCCTGGCTGTTTTTATGTTATATCTATTGCTAACCTCGCTACAAAGTTTTTTACATACCCATGCACAGAGTATATGATTAAAGTAAAATTGCATTTCTTGTTTTTTAGATCTATTCAATTGAGCAAATTCTGCTTAAGATCTTACTTGTCAAACAAGAATTTGTTGGACTGTCTTATATGGGGCTAAATCAACTCTTGTTGACAGCATGAGGGAACATGACAGGGCAACTATCCATGAGGCAATGGAGCAGCAGACTATAAGTGTAGCCAAGGTAGATTTTTAAAAGATTATATATTGAGAAATCCACCGTGAGATTTGTAGGTAGTGTAATAAGCGCAATTTGCTGTTTCGCCTGTGTGGATGTTTGAAGTAGAAAACTGCTTCTGGTTTGAATGTTAAATCCTGTGCACTATAATGAGATAAGAAATATGTCCTTAATGACATAAATAAATTGCAATTTCATTTTAAATGACATCAATGAATACAATAAGTGTAGCCAAGGTAGATTTTTAAAAGATTATGTATTGAGAAATCCCCCGTGAGATTTATAGGTAGTGTAATAAGCGCAATTTGCTGTTTCACCTTTGTGGATGTTTGAAGTAGAAAACTGCTTCTGGTTTGAATGTTAAATCCTGTGCACTATAATGAGATAAGAAATATGTCCTTAATGACATAAATAAATTGCAATTTCATTTTAAATGGCATCAATGAATACAATTTCCATTTGGTACATATTCGTGCAGTTATTTTGCTGGACGAGATGCTGATGATTCTACATGTTTATTATTTCTTTAGTTCATTTCTGAAATATAAGAAAATAGGTTTAGTTTTTTATCAGTTTACAAATTTTGGTTGATTTCATCAGGCTCTTTTCAGGAATTGGTTGAAGCATGACCTTAACATTGTTAAATTTCAGGCGGGTCTTGTAACAACCCTCAGTACAAGAACAGTCGTCTTTGGTGCCACGAATCCCAAGGGACAGTATGATCCTGAACAATGTATCTTTCATCGAGAGTTAACGAATTGGGCGAATTATTGATGGCCCAGAAAACACAAACCTGCAAGTTTATTGATGCCATCCTTATTTGGATCTTTTGGCGCAGAAGTTAGATGCCATTGATAAGTAAACTTTTGATGTTCTTGTATACTAGCCCTTAAAAACATAATTCTTTCCGTGGAGCATTGGCCTTGTAGGTGACTCTGTTTCATTGTCTTTCTATATTCCATATTCCTTAACATAAGCTAGCTTTGTCTGTCAACACCACTCTCTCTGGACCCCTGTTAAGCAGATTTGATATAGTCTTGGTCCTATTAGACACAAAGAACCCAGAGTGGGATGCAGTTGTTTCCTCTCACATTCTTGCTGAGGTAATGGCTACTACGAACACCAGGAATAGCTTCCACATTTTCTAATGAAGCATTCCAATAATGCCAATTTCTAACTAGTTTGTGAAATTAATTGGCAGGCAAGACCTGAGAAAGGCAACTGTAATGAAGATCTGGAAAAAATCTGGCCACTTCCCATGCTTAGAAGGTAGAATTCTTCTAAAGCACCTCTCTGGATACCTGTTGGTTCAAACAGTATTTTCAGTGAAGTCCAACTTGTGATATTTAGTTGTTTGCATGTGTTCACTCATCTGGACAGAATTCTGACAGGAGTGTCTGCAATCTATTCTGTGAGATGAACTGGAGTTTTCGTTAGTTCTACTTTTATCAATTATTATATCATAGATGTGGGACAAATATATTCAGAAATATGATATCTTGTTCTCGGTTTACATCAGATATTGATCAACAGTCCTCTTAATGGATATTCATGTCAGATGAAGCATTAAATAGTTTGAAAGTTATTGCACCATATATATACATTTGGTTTGACAACGAGTATGGATGAAACATGAAGAGTTGATTAACCGTGATTACTAAAATTCTTAGGCTCTTTGATTCTTTGTTAAGAGTATGTTAGTTCAAATAAAATTCTTTATTAACCTTACAACTACTTAGTGACTCCTTCTTTTTGTAATGAAAATTTGATTAAGTCTATAGCATTATCGAACATCTTGCAGGTACATTCACTTTGTTAAAGGATACTTTAGACCAGTCCTTACAAAGGAGGCTGAAAAAGTTATTTCAAGCTATTATCAACTCCAAAGAAGATCTGCGACTCAAAATGCAGGTTCCATGTAGAGGGCAACCTTTTATGATTCATTCTCATCATTGTTTACACGGTTAAGTAATTAATTTTAATTAAAATACTACTGCAGCAAGGACCACTGTGCGAATGCTGGAAAGTTTGATACGACTTGCTCAAGGTACATTACCCACCATTTGGAGCATCTATGCAGCATCAGCTTTCTATTTTTGCTCCAATGGTTTGGCTTCTTAATGTTGCAGCACATGCAAGGTTTATGTTCAGAAATGAAGTCACTCTGTTAGATGCCATCACCGCCATTTTATGCATTGAATCATCAATGACTACCTCAGCTATAGTGGACAGTGTTGGGAATGCCTTGCACTCCAATTTTACTGAAAACCCTGATGGAGAATGTATCCTTGTATCAGTTTTTTTGCCGGTGCCTGCTAATAAACTCACTAATACATGTGAGAACTATGATGCTTGCATTGATCATGCAATCACCTATCTGTTCAATAAAAAAATTCATTAAATATGGAGTATTCTATACTTGAATATGTTTACCTGCACAACTGGTCATGAGTTTGCATATCTTCAATCATGTCATGTGGAGTATGCATTTAGTCAATTCAAAACACAAATACATGCAAAATAATGAGGAATTGCAATAACCAGAAAATATGAGAAAATGCTCTACATATGGACTAAATTACAGGCCTTCCGTGTAGCTTGGTGGCTATGAACCTAAAATTCCTACCCCAGGTTGTGGGTTCAAAGGCTTGTAGAGAGGAAGAGAAAAAATATGGACCAAGTTGTTTTATCTGCATGATTTGGCATTATATGGTTCAATGAATCATTGCACCATTTTTTTGTGGGGAAGTAGCGTTATGTGATCATTGTGGCCAGTGATTCTTAGTCATGTGATGCGTGTTTGTTTTATTTACTAAATTTGTGAAGAGCTTGTTTTGTTTCAAATCCAGGTTTGTTCCCATCAGTATCGCTTATCTATGCTTTAATTTGACTTGATGCTTGTGAACTCTTGACTTAACATACCATAGATGCCAAGCAAGAAAGGATAATCCTGGAGAAGCTGACTTCCATTGATGAATTCCCGGACATATAACAGCATTGAAGGATCAATAAGTGGGTGAGGTTGTAGAAAACACAAGCATCCAAGTTGATTTGGTCAAGTCCATTTCACTTAGCTGCTTGTGAGAGTGGAGGTATTCCATACTGAATGGCTGTACAATGTTGTATTTCTGAGATTTCATGCACTGTTTAAACAGGTGATATGATAACAGTACTTTTGAATCTCTCTCTCTCTCTCTGGGTTTGCATGTATGTGTGTGTGTGTGTGAGAGATTATTCAGGCTGATGATATAGCATTATGCCGTCTATGTAGCACACCATTAGCCTGAACATTTTCATTTTCAATTTGAATGTCTTCCCTTGCAGCCTGAAACTATGCCCAATCTACTTCAGATGTTGTTATGAGATGGGAAATTTTGATGCCTGGCCACATCGGCTTTCCTAACCTGATCGGTGTGATATTTATAGGTGTGTCTTCCAGGTGCCACCATGGGTGTGCAAGCATTTTAACTTTTATTTATGATTATTTATTTTCTTTTTGTGTAAAAAGGTGATGTAAATGTATTTGACTGCTGATATACAGAGAAGGGCTATGTATTACTGCTCTTTATTTGTAGCAAATCATCAAATGTTTTGGCATTCTGACAGAAATTTGGAATTATTCTTAATCTCTCCCCCTTCATAATGTATTAGCGTTGCTGTTGCTAGATGTGGGATTTGAAGTTTACAATAGTTTTGCAAATTGCCGGATTTTATGTTTTGGTTAATCTATACTTGTCTCTTGCTGTGAAATGTTTTTCTTTTTCCAGTATACATCGTATACTCTGAAAGTAATATTTATATTTTAAATAATAATTTATTTTTATTTTTTTTCTTTAAGCAAGCAATTTAAAATTAAAGTTAACATTAAAAAAATAAGAGAGAAGTAGGTGTGAATTAATTAGGTTGTTTAGCATTGGGAGTGTATTGATTGAGTTGTTTATTATTGGGGGTGGTAAAAAGAATATAATATTTTTGAGCAAGAAAAAAAAATTTGAGATGAATTTTATAATATTAGGTCAAAGTAGATAAAAAATGAATTATTCTTAATTATTGTTATATTTTTATAAGTTGAGAATTTAACTTCTTAACTGTAAGATTAGATAGATTGTCTAAATTCACATGAGATTTTTGTTCTTTTATCGTTTTTTTTTTCAAAACTTTACACTATTTTACTATCTTCCTAAATTTATTTATTAAATTATTATTTTTTCAAAAGAAGTTGTGTATCAAAAATGAAAAACACAACATCAAAGAAAAAATATATTGTTGTGTTTTTGAAATGCGCTTTTAAAAAATGACAAAATTTTATTGTTTATGATGTTTTGTTATTAACAATGGAGGTACTGTTGATAAAAACAATATTATTTTGATCTAAAATAACGTCATTTTTTGTTAATTAACGATGATATCATTTTAGATCAAAATTAAGTCATTTTTTATCAACATTAAAAATTAACAACATAGGAGTTGAGCTCTAGTTGGATAAATAAACTTGAATAGAGGATAAGGTGGTATATCAATATTAAAAAACATAAATTGTATTTTGCATCCCATAAAATTTAAAAATTTTTATTTTATATCTTTAAAGATTAAATTTTTCATATTATACCTTTAAAATATTAAAAGTGTTATAATGTGTCTTTTCCAGTAGTCTTCATTGCTTGTTTCGTTAAAAATTACTTCATTAACGTTGACACAATGAGCAAAATAAACTAACCAAAGTGTTATATTATAACACTTTTAGTATATTGAAGTGCACTATAATGTAAAAATATTAGTCTTCAAGTTGAGAATTTTTAAAATTTTTGGGTGTAAAGTGTAATTCGATCTTAAAAAACAAAGGATAAATGATTAAAAAGTCGAGTCCACTCTCTGACCTTACCGGAAAAAACCGTTCACTGTACTTTCGGACCTTTGTAGTCGTTGTTTCAACGTAAAAACTCTCTTTCTCTTTCTCTCTCACACACACTCTTCCTTCCCATTCTCTCTACAATGGAGAGCTTCGCACTCTCCTCTTCCTCCACCACCACAGCCTTCTGTCCCCCCTCTCGCGTCTCCTCACACATCCGATCACGTTCGCCCCCATTTTTTCTTTCTAAATCCCCACCCACAAGATCCTCAAAACCCACAACAATTCGACCATTCTCAGCTCTCCGATCACCCCACTCTCTCTCCTCTCGAACTCTCCTCAACCCCATACCTTTCCTCTTCAACTCTCTCCCAAAACCCACCAAAACCCAGAAACCAATAATCAGAGCCGCCTCAGCTTCAACCCCTCCACCGGACAATAAGGACCCGCTCACGGAATCAAAACCCCTCCAAGGAGCTAAACTCTTACCACTGATTATATCAGTATCAGTGGGTCTAATTGTTCGATTCATCGTTCCCAAACCCCCCGAAGTATCAACTCAAGCATGGCAATTACTTGCAATCTTCCTTTCAACGATCGCTGGACTGGTTCTGAGCCCATTGCCGGTCGGAGCTTGGGCTTTTTTGGGACTCACGACTTCTATTCTAACGAAAACATTGACATTTTCCACTGCTTTTGGTGCTTTCACGAATGAGGTGATTTGGTTAATTGTGATTTCATTTTTCTTCGCTCGTGGGTTTGTGAAGACGGGCTTGGGGGATAGGATTGCGACATACTTTGTGAAGTGTTTGGGGAAGAGTACATTGGGTTTGTCTTATGGATTGACTCTTAGTGAGGTCCTTATTGCTCCGGCAATGCCCAGCACAACGGCAAGGGCCGGCGGTGTGTTTTTGCCGATCATTAAGTCTTTGTCACTGTCGGCCGGTAGTAAGCCGGGTGATCCATCTGCAAAGAAGCTTGGGTCTTATCTCGTTCAGTCTCAGTTCCAGGTTGGCTTTTGTGGTTGACGACTTTTTGATTCTTGAATTTGATTGGCATTGAAATGGTTATGCACTGAATTTGTTTGCATCTGAATATGCATGTGTTGGAATTTAACTCAAACTCTTTAATCGTAGAGTTTGTTGGGTAATCAATTTAGGGAAATGCTTTTTGGACCTTATTTGGAGACCTTATTTAGGGACCGTACAATTATTGGATTAGTTATGGGCTTCATCTAACATTGGAATTTACAACTAATCCTTGCATTGAAGCTACATCATTAGGTCACTAAATAAGGCCGCCAAATAAGGTCCTTAGGCATCTTCAATCCTTATTCAAATTTAGATTTAAATTTAAATTTGAGTAAAAAAGTTTAAAAAACTTGCTCAAACCCTTGACTCAAACTTATACCAAATTAAGGAAAATTCATTTTTTTACTCAAATCAAGGGAGACTCAAATCTTTAATGGTGAGACACTCTTAAATCAAGGAAGACTAGTAAATATAAGTAAAAATTTGAGTCATAGTTAGAGATACTCTTATAGCATTGCTCATAAATTTAATAGTGTTGGTCATCAATTTAATAGTCCTAATAAACCATTGGTTTATAATGACCTAATCAAATAGGATAATATTGGAAGAGTTTTAATATACTATGAATAGGTATATTAGACATGCGATAAGAAACATAAAGATTAAGTTGTATTTGAATAGGTTTGAGTTACCGTATTTTATCTCTATAAATAGGGTTGAATATTATATAATCATTTACCAGATGACCAGATTTAAGTGAACAATACATCGAAAGGTAGGTATGTTTTATTGAACTACATTACATCTTTGTGTTTTGCTTTATTGTTTTCCTATCTTCTAATGAGTATTATTTGTATTAATTATTCACTGTACAAAATTAACGTGTGGTATCAGAGCGTTCCAATAAGTGGTATCAGAACTATTTTTCAACAAGCGGAATTAGAGTTAGATTGATGATCCTGGTAGATCTTGAACTATCAGAACTAAATTGATGATCCTAGTAGAACAATCAAAACTAAATTGATGATCTTGATGCAACAATCAAAACAAGTTATTAGCGATTCAATGATCAAGTTGATGTTCATGTTGAAGAAGACTGCCTTACCATGTATGTACAATTTATATTTTTTTAGATCTATAAGAAAAAAATTAAAGTTGGTATGAAACCAAACGGAAGACTAAGTTGTTTCCTGATTGTTTGGATTTCAAGAATTACCACACGTGCCGTGTTGAAGATATTTCTTTCGGTTTTTGAGCTCTTATAGTTAAAATCGCGGTATTCCAATGTTTTGGGAGCTATTGGACGGATATAAACCTAATAGTGATGATATAGTGTCTCATGGGTTACGAGTCCTTGGCTTTACCTTTGAATGATGAAGCATTGACCATTGAGATCTCCCAAGAACAGGTAAGACGCGGGCAGACATATATAGTTGATGCAGACCAAGATGCAGGTTCTTGAAAGATAGAGAGAATTGTGGCGACTCGAAAAACAGGTTTGCAAATGGTGCTTGAAAAAGTTGGTGGATCAAAATAAAAAATGCTAACCCTGATATTAGGTATAACTAAATTTGAAGAGTTTGGTTCAAGGGAGAATGTTAGAATTTGACCAAAATTCTCTAATTGTTAAGAGTTTATTGGGTAATCAATTTAATAGTCCTAATAAACATTGATAGGTTTATTAGTGACCTAATCAAAGAGGATAATATTGGAAGAGTTTTAATATACCATGATTAGGTATATTAGACATGTGATAGGAAAAATAAAATTAAGTTGTATTTGAATAAGTTTGGTTTACCATATTTTATCCCTATAAATGGGGTTGAGTATAATGTAATCAGTTACTAGATGACCAGATTTCAGTGAATAATACGTCGATGTAGATTCTTGGTCCGTGAATGTAGGCAATGTGTACCAAGATAGGTATGTTGTATCAAACCACTTTATTGTTTTTTTATCTTCCAACAATTATTATCCACTATGCAAAACCAATAAGTGGTATCAGAGTTATGTTCCAACAAGTGATATCAGAGTTATTTTCTAATAAGTGGTATCAGAGCTAGATTGATGATCCTGGTAGATCAATCAGAGCTAGATTGATGGTCCTGGTAAAACAATCAGAGTTAGATTGATGATCTTGGTAAAACAATCAGAACTAGATTGATGATTCTAGTGTAACAATCAAAGCAAGTTATTAGCAATTCAATGATCAAGTTGGTAGACTAAGTTGTTTCCTGATTGTTTGAATTTCAAGAATTATCACACGTGCTGTGTTAAAGATATTTCTTCCGGTTTTTTAGCTCTTATAGTTAAAGTCATGGTATTCCAATGGTTTAGGAGCTATTGGACTAATATAAACCTAATAGTGATGATATGGTGCCTCGCGGGTTACGAGTCACTGGGCTTTGCCTTTGAATGGTGAAACATTGACCATTGAGACCTCTCAATAACTGGTAAGACGCGGGCAGATGCACAATTGATATAGACCAAGACACAGGTTCTTGAAAAACAAAGAGGAATATGGCGACTCGAAGAGTAGGTTTGCATGTAGTGCTAGAAAAAGTTGGTGGATCAAAATCAAAGGTGCTATCCCTGATGTTGGGTATGACCAAATTTGAAGAGTTTTGTTCAAGAAAGATTGTTGGAATTTAACCCAAACTCTCTAATTGTTGAGAGTTTTTTGGGTAATCAATTTAATAGTCCTTTTCATTGATAGGTTTATTAATGACCTAATTAAATAGGATAATATTAGAAAAGTTTTAATATACCATGAATAGGTAAATTAGACATGTGATAGGAAACACGTTATCATGTTTGAGTTACCGTATTTTATCCGTATAAATAGGGTTAAGTATTATGTAATCAATGAAATCAAAATCTATATCTCTATAGCATGTTATGGCCTGACATCCTGATCTTTCTGAAGGTTTCATCCTTCGAATTCTGAAAGTGCTGTAAGGCGAGTGGAGCGAAGGAAGAAGCTCTTACTCACTGCCAGGGTAAGGCGCTAATGCCACTAGCTTGCTGGCTTGTTAGAGCAATTCTTAGATAGCAAGCACTAGCTCCTAGCGTTTTTCAGCTGTATCCTGTGATCTGAAATGTGCTGTCGGAAGATAGCACGATACCCTTGCCTGGACTTTTTTGATATACCTAAGAAGCTGTGACATCTGAAGAATGTCCGATTTCATATGTTTGAACCATCTCCGTTGAGGAAAGAATCTTGGACCCGGAATAAGAACTATTTAAATCCGAACTTGCCTGAATAAAAGGTTCCACAACTTTTAATAACTCTTCCATAGGGAACTACTCCCAATTTTTCTTACAATTCGCCACACCAAGGTGAAAGGATTCGAACCTAAACAGATGCGCTGACCAGACTGCGCTACACCTTGTCTTACCCACTCACTAGCTCTTCGTCGTTCGCCTCACCTCCCCTATAGCTTACGATCGCCGCGCTCCTTATCTACGCTAAATGTCCGTACCGTACGTTCTTTTTCGCGAAGAGCGACCTCCTTTTGTAGTAGATGCCGAACCAACGCCTTATCAAACATACTTTTCTTTTCTTTTGTCAAGGCTCTCGCGGGCNACGTAATAATGATATGTCGTAGCTCCTTGAGATAGAAAAGAATAAATCAATAATGAAATCAAACGATGCAGGGTATTCCGTGCATCTATCACAAGGGGGGCTTGGGACTCGAACCCAAATCTTCCATGACCCCCCACGAATCAGCAAAAACGAAGCTACCAATCCAGTACCTACTTTACTGAGCCATTTAGTCAATGACAGATCCGCTTTGGCGTACTACCAAGTTTCACGTTGGCATGTGACACTCTCCTTCCTTGCTTTTCCATACGCTTGCTGGAGAAGGCCCTATGGAGTAAAGGGAAGTGCAGGAATGCTGTATGCATGTGATAAATGGGCTCGAACTCGCGGAAGTCGATCATATATATACTACGACATTTGTTTGTTGACCCAATAAGATGATAAGAAAGGTATCATCATAGATATGAAATAAAAATCTATATCTCTATAGCATGTTATGGCCTGACATCCTGATCTTTCTGAAGGTTTCATCCTTCGAATTCTGAAAGTGCTGTAAGGCGAGTGGAGCGAAGGAAGAAGCTCTTACTCACTGCCAGGGTAAGGCGCTAATGCCACTAGCTTGCTGGCTTGTTAGAGCAATTCTTAGATAGCAAGCACTAGCTCCTAGCCTTTTTCAGCTGTTTCCTGTGATCTGAATGACTAGATTTAAGTAAATAATATGTCGATGTGAATTCTTGATCCCAAGATGGGTATGCTATATCGAACCTTTTCTATCTTCTAACAAGGATTATTTGTATTAATTATCTACTATGCAAAACCAACAAGTGGTATCAGAACTATTTTCCAACACATGTGTCATACCCAAAATTTGATGGTATTGTAGAAATCCTTTGAACCGGTGATTGGAAGTATGATTAGGCATTTTCATGAAAAAAAAAATATTGGGTGTGCTTAATATGTTGAGAATTGTGCTGTTGAAGAGTGAATGGTGCTACATTATTTATGAAAGAACCCTGTATTTGAATATGCCATAGTGATTGTGTAGCCGCTTCCATTCTTATAATGAATATTCAGAGAAGTTAGTTTTCTTATAGGAGTTGTTCCGCTTCCATTACCATTTTCCTTTGTTCAACACTCATTCGATCCTTCGATCCTTAAGGAAGCGTAGTTACTTGATTCAGCCAATTTTAGTCTAGGGGCCTTATTGCAAACGCTTTTTAATTGGTTGTTATGTTGAAGATCTGTATACTATTATGCAACTATCCTCTTGTTGAGCAAAGGGTACGGTTTGTTCTGTTCTATATTGAGGGTACTTTCTGCTTGCCTTGTTAGTATTTTTTTTTTCATGACTTTATATCTCCTGCGCTCATGCATTGATTTTTATGATGCGTGACAGTCCTCTGGTAACTCTAGTGCTCTGTTCCTAACTGCTGCAGCTCAAAACCTGATTTGCCTCAAACTAGCTGAGGAACTTGGGGTGATAGTCGCAAGCCCATGGGTGTCTTGGTTTAAAGCTGCTAGTTTACCTGCATTGATTTCCCTTCTGGCATCTCCATTTGTATTGTACAAGCTTTATCCTCCTGAAATCAAAGATACACCAGATGCCCCTGCTATGGCTTCAAAGAAACTGGACCTCATGGGTCCAGTCACAAGAAATGAATGGGTGATGGTTGGTACAATGCTTCTTGCAGTTTCTTTGTGGGTCTTTGGGTGAGTATCATGTCTTCACATTGATTTTTATACATAATGATGTTATTTATGTGTCATCTATATACATGCCTCATCATGTAAAACGTTAGAAAGTAATATGTTTCTGCTTTATACAGAATTGACTTCTTGCTGGTCCATGTTTGAGAATGGACTACTACATAAGTGTTATTATAGCATCAGACATGTTAAACGGTATATTTTTGCTTCTTTGTGGTGGAATGCAAAGCATTGAGGGAATTGCATGTAATTAATGCATCATGTTCACAAGGTGCCTAACAGACTAACTGGGAAATAAGATGCCATGACCTGGAAAGGGACCAGAATAATGTTATCAGATTATTGGTAACTGTAAAGCATAAAAAACAGTAGCCAAAGCAATTTTCTTTGCTTGTCCTTGATTTGATTTTGTTTATGCCATTGTTTTTGTCACGTGAGTTGCATCTGTCGTGTGCTTCGTTGTTGGTAAATTGAATCCTTTTTGTTTTTAGGGGCCATAAATGTTTGTATTCACCATACTGTTGGACCTCTTCATTTTTTATTTTGGCCTTCCCATGGAAATTTGGTGCCTCAGATGATCTTGAAGCTCTGGCCCTCTCCATCATCAATAGGTAGATTTCTAATTATTAAAATGACAAGACAGATGATTCAACACAGTGATCTTCTGAAATATTGTTGGCAGTGACATTCCACCAAGTGAGCCATAAAATGAACGTAATTTTCCCGAGTTACTCCTCTTTAACCCTAAGAGTTTTTCAGGAATTTTTTTTATAATTTCTGAAGAAAATCAGCGGAGATTGAAAAGTCTTGTAAACAAGATTACATCTGGCTTTAATTTTATGGATAATGTCATCCCTGATCTCACCTTCCCTATGAATATCTTTGGTATCTTTTTGATGCTCGATTTTTCATACGCATCTACTTATATTGCTGAATGACTGAAATATTGTGGGTAAATTATCTGTTGCTTGACTACCCAGAAAAATAGTATCCATTGCTTGGTGTGTAGTATTTCTGATGAATGTCAACTGAAAATTATGGTAGTTTTTGGATGGTTGTTCTCCTTGTATACCCTTTGGTAAAACTTTCAAGCATTGATATATTTGGTGTGTAAACAGAGAAGCTCTTGGAATAGCAAGTGTTGTTGCTGCTATGCTTTGCTTATCAATGCTCTTACTGTTTGGGGTGCTTGATTGGGATGACTGCTTAAGTGACAAGTCAGCATGGGATACTTTGGCTTGGTTTGCAGTTCTAGTTGGCATGGCAGGCCAATTGACAAATCTTGGCATTGTAGCCTGGATGTCTGGATGTGTTGCTGTATTCCTTCAATCTTTTTCTTTGAGTTGGCCGGTCGCATTTGTTGTTCTTCAGGCTGCTTACTTCTTTATCCATTACTTATTTGCAAGTCAAACTGGTCATGTGGGAGCTTTATACTCTGCATTTCTGGCGATGCACTTGGCATCTGGGGTGCCTGGTGTGCTGGCAGCACTTGCTCTAGCGTACAATACCAGTCTGTTTGGTGCTCTAACACATTATAGCAGTGGCCAGGCTGCCGTGTACTTTGGAGGTGAGTCATTTATTGCTCTAATTATCAAGCTTACTTAATTTGGTAGACAATACACACAACTTCCTCATCCGCCCCCTTTCATTCTTTATGCTTGTAACATATCATTTCGTTTTGTTTATCTGTCTCGATTTATCTTTTGCTCTTTTTGGTTGCTGAGATGAAGGAAAAGATACTGAAACTGCAAATTTTCAATTCCATCATGAATATCTTCTTTTTTTTTGTTTTTAATTTGGTGATTTTATTGGCAACAAATAGGCATTCGTTTATATGAGCTTATGTAAGTTACCATGAATATCTTCAGAATATTCATTTTGAAGTATTAGACTGATGAGCATTATTTTGTTTTGTGTCAACAGCTGGCTATGTAGACCTTCCAGATGTATTCAAATTCGGATTCATAATGGCCCTTGTCAATGCCGTGATCTGGGGAGTTGCTGGGACTTTCTGGTGGAAGTTCTTGGGCCTGTATTGATTTTCAATTCCCTTGTAAGTAGATGTTCTCTCCTTTGTTTCACGGTTAAGCAGAGGAACATTCTCTTTCTAAGGAGAAACGCCAAAATTTGGGCTTTTACCTTCTGCTTTGAGCTCATTGTTAACGTTACTCTAGTGTAACAATGCTCATTGAATTTCCACAGACGAATATAATTTTTTCGTGGGAATAGAATCAATAGATGAGACAAATGAATTGTTAGGTGTGTCATGAATTCATGATGCCTCTGATTGCATATATGACCTTGAGTAAGGGATCCGTGTGAGTAATCTTTCCATCTGTTGCATAAATGATGGCACGATAGAAACGACCGTGCAGAGTTCTTTGTAACTATCAATTTGTTTTTTTTTTTCCACATGGTATTAAAGAGATTTTCTGTATTGCTGGGATGATCTGCACTTATGAAAGATTAGATTCGAACCCTGGCGCTGTGGTGCTCGTCGCTTCATCGTTCTGTTTTTTTGTCACTATGCCAAGGCGCCACTTTACATCAGGAGATCATTGATCATGTGTCTTAGCAAATTGTAAAGTCTATCCAGATAGAGTTGTGCGACCCTCTATTTTCACTAACGAATTATAATGAAGGTTTCAATCTTGGCACATCAATGAGCAGCTCTGAAGTGGGCTTCCCTTCTTACTGGTTCTATTCTAAAGTATGATCTATTGGGTCTGCCTGGAATCTTCACATCCTTTGTTGGGTAGCCCTTTACACTTTTTTTTGTTACAGAAAAATGGATACGTAGATAAGTCACTCTACATATCTACCAAAAAATATTGCCTCTCAGCACCACACAATTATCTGCAGGAGATTTCATTGCACTTACGTTGGGGTCAAAGCTAAGGTATCACTGGGTGCTCTGGGCACTGAAGAGTAGATTTAGTCTAATGAGCTATTGTAGTTATGGAGATTTAAATTCAAGTATTGAGCGAGAAAATTCGAGTTTTTATCTACCGGGTCAACTGCAGTTAATGGTAACTTTTACATTTATCCCAACAGTAAAGTGATGAGTCTCTTTCTTTCTTTCTAATCTGGTCTGGTAATGGAATGTGTCGAAAATAAGCCCCTTAGATATTACGAAGGATTAAAATTTTATTTAGGTGCATAGGTTTAGTCAATTCGGGAACGTTTCAGCGTAAAATTATTTCCACAACATTCAAAAATACTTTGAAATAATTCAAAACATTTTGAAATATTAAAATTTTAATATTTAAATACTGATTCGTTTTGGTTTCTAGAAAATAAGAATATTTCAAACATTTTCATTGTAAAAGATACAAAAAATCGATCCGTATAGGTCGTTGAAAGATGTTAATCTGATATTCTGGCTTGCATGAGTTGGGATTAGATGAGTTACATGGAAAATCTGGATGTGAATTTGAATTGGATTTAAAACGAATTTTATTTTTATAGTCAATATTCATATTCGTTGAAAAATCATAAAAAAATTCGATACGAGTATGTGTTTGAATCTGTATAGCTCAATTAGACTTGAATTTTCTAACAAATCGTGTCTCAAATTCAATACGACATCATGACTAAACTAAATCGTATATGTAAATCTATTTGGATAACAATTTGCTTTGATATTTGTATATCCTAACCGGGAATATAATACAATGATTTCATGTTCACATTTAAATAATCAATCAAAAAAACTAATCTATGTTCACCTAATTAAAAATTATAATTTTTTAAGGTTAAATTATAATTTTTTAAAAATATAAGTTATAACTTCAAGGGTATGATCAATCATGAAATGTTGGAATCGATACCACATTTTTCATGATTGATCATGAGTGTCTGTAATCGATGATGACTTTCTTTAAGTTGTTATAACTTTTCCTTTTAAAATTATAATTTAATCATAAGTAATAATCGGCGGTTCCGATATCAAAAAAACAAATAAAAAAAATTGTACCAAAGAGTTTCCCAAAATCAAGACAAGCCAAATTGCGATAACACAAAGCAGATCACGTGGCCTAATTGGTTAGGTTGTCTGCTATCCTTATCTAGAATCAAATTGATATTGTATTTTAATCTTCAAATCATAATTTCTAAGTTTTCTTTATCTTTTGAAAGCATTATTTAAATTTATACTTTTCGAAAAATATTTTTAAGTTGAGAATGTCATGAATGAGGGCGGATGGGGGAGATGGAATAGGGGTTTCTGTTTCTCTATAAAAGGGAAATTCCGAAATATACACTGAATTCATAAGTAAGAGTAAATCTCTTTTTCAGTATTCTCTTTCTATTAATTTTTTGAATTATTTATTTGTTTCTAAATTAATTTGTTAATTTTATAACACGTTATCAACACGAAAATTAGTTAATTGAGTCATTGTGGAATAATTTTTGTTAGATCACATTTTATAATTAACTAATTTTGTGGAGTTTATTATAAATTTCAACATATTTCTATGATTATAATGTTATCAATTTAAAGATCCGAAAGTATCATTATATGGAAGAGATCAAGTGTCAAAATAACATTCTTCAAATTCCATATGCATTTTCATGCTTAAGATAAAGATAATGATCTACACATCTAAGATGAACTTTTAGTTATTTTTAACTTAGGATAATTTGGATTAAATGAAATTGAAAGCAATCTGAATATAGCTCTTATGTGTTTTGAAATTAAAAAATTTTTCTAAACAATTTTGTATTTTGAAAATATAGTTTGAGTTATTAGCAGACTCTATTGAGCAACACCTTTTATTGCGACAAATTTTTTGTTTGATTTTAGACTTATAAAACCAGTAAGGATTGCACTTATACTCGCTAACCTTTACTAGAGCGGTCTTTTCATAATTTAAGGAAAAAAATAAAAAAAAGCCACTAAGAGGGAATAGAGTCCACTTGAGCGGTCTCATTATTGCTCAAGCGATCAACTATCCCAATCAGGATTAAAACGTTGTTTTCATTCCAGTGCCAACTGTCTTATGACCACTCTCTCACCGATCAAGTAGTTGTTCACAAATTTGAATTTTCTTGTTGACCAAGACTACCCTTAATCCGAACTTATAAATAGGGAGAACCTTTCTAATCTTGTGAGATTTCTAAGGGAAAAAAACTACTTCTATTTTGAGAACTTCCACCACTAGCATAGATCCCTAAGATCTAAGGCTACCATTAAAATTTGTACACGACCTCACAAATTAAAGTTGAAGATCTTTATAATTTTATAAATCTATTGGCATGTACATACCAAGAAGCGCTAGCTAGTCTACTCATAATTGCTTAAGACCTAGACAAACCGTACAGTGAAGAGTTCAAGTGAAGCTACACAAGATGTTGAAGAGGGACTTTCAGTGAAGGGACATACGAAGGAAATGAATATCTAACCATGATATTGGTTAAGGTAAAAAACTCGAGTACTTATATATTTGTGAGTAGTGGATTAGGTTTTGTGAATCCCGAGTAATTTTTTGCGATTTTTTCTGATGAGGGTTTTTGCGTCAACAAATCGCTTCTCTTCATATTATTTATTTACATATATACATGTGATTATTTGCACACACGTACGATATGTGTTTGATCATTTAAATTCTTGACATATAAATCGATTATAGTAACGTTTGGGTTTGCGTTATTGGGATCCCCATAAAATTGAATATTAGAGTGAATTAATTAATATCAGTCGTCATGGGTTGTTTAGGTTCTGCTGATTAGAGGGGTTCTTATCATTAATTGCTATATTTGATAGAAAAGAGGTAATTAAGGTTGGATTAGGTTTTAATTGATAATCAATTGAGATAAAATTGAAAAAACTTATTCACACCTCTAAGAGGTGTCATGTGTTCCATGTATATAATTGTGAAAAAAGATCCACATCGTTTCTCTCCCTCTCATAATAACAATTTTCTATATTTGAAATGTAAAATCAAGAATATAAATTTATCAATTTTAATTTAGCACTATACATGTTTTGATGTGAGTGTTTGTTGTTCTATTTTTAAATTGTCGTTATATTTGAATTAGTGTCTAAAACACATAAAATATGTACCTACAGTACATAAATATTTAATTCAAATTATATTACTAAAGAACATAAAAAAATCTAGTACATGAAGTACATATAAAGTTTATTGTGCTAGAAAAGGGTACATAAATTAAATACATAAATTATTGTGATATCAAAATATCACAATTGAATTTGTAGAGTCTGAAGCTTGTAAATTATAAAATGCTAAAAATGCATAAAATTGTGTCAACAACACGTAAGATATTAATTGATATCTGATGATGACGGATTTAAGTCTGAGCCCAAAGTTCCCCAATGGGCCCATCAAAGACAATCCAAGCAATCCTTCTCGATGGCATCTTCCATATTTGGGCTGGATCACAGCCCAGCTCCATGAAAGACCAAGATCTTCTAGCCTAGATCAGAACCCAGATCAACTTCAACAAGCTCAGCGATAATCGTTTGCTTGGGAGTTTTGAGCTTGGCACTAAACAAATCTAAGATAACTTCAATCGTGCCATGTGGACAGGAAATAGGGGGACAATGCCTGATAACCCTAACGAATAAATACTCACTAATGTATAAGATGTATAAATAGAACACAATAGTACTATGTAAAAAGGGAGATAGAATAGAAAGATAAATATAATATCAAAGGTGATGGGACGCTTCAACGAGTTCACAGGGGGGTGACTCGTGTCCTCGGCCCCAAAGGAGTCTTCTTATATGCAGAGAACGACACGTGTTCTTGGCGCCGAAGACACCTTACATTCTAGTAAAGATGTGTGTCCTCAGTTCCGAGAACACACCCCCAATTCTGAAGAAGACATGTGTCCTCAGCACCGAGGGCGTCCATCACCCTGTGGTGACATGTGTCCTCGGCGTGGATTGGTCGCTGAGGTTTGCTTGTGATTAACGGTTGGAGGCTATTGACTCCAAATTTCAATAGTAAATCATTGACTTGCTTTCTCAAAGAAGTCAGAGTGGCGGAAAGAACAAGACTAGCAGCCAAAGGAAGTTAGACACATGGCATAATGTACAGGATTGGGGGTAAAATAACAAGACTATCCCTGCTGACATGAAGTCATTCCAAAGAAGCATTTAATAATCCCTCAGAAGGATAGGATGTACATGATGGCTTGGGAAGCCTGGAAGAAGGAACATTAATTGTTCTAGAGCCCAAGCATTTAACGTCTGTGCATAGAGGGAAAAATATTAAATACTTAAAAGCCCGAGTAATTAATAACAGGGACCTCCTCCACGCAAAATAGGAGGCGCTTTGTCCAATGACTGCACTTTACCTACCACCTCCCAAATGGACCAATGGAGGAATTTCTT